TAAGTCTAATTCTTGTAAAGACTTTGCAACTGCCACTCGGTAACACTTAACCCTAACAATCGTGGATCAACTTCTTTCCTAAAAAATATATCTATTTTGGGTTAATTTTTCAATATAATGATTAATATAAACGGATACACCATGCAGCATGACTTAAGCTACTATATAAAAAAGAATAAAAGTCACGTATATCACATGCAGTTTCTTCCAGAAGCAACTTTTCTAACGCTTATAGAAAAGCCCTATTGGCCAGTACTAAATACAACCTCTACATAAAATGGCAGTTACTATAATAAGCACCACCTACATTCATATTGTAAAACCCAGAGAACAATGTTTCATCACGTGCTTTCCTTATCATCCTATGATTTGTCAAATGTGAGATACAGCAATTGGAATAATTGGTACTGAAATTGACACTTTCGACTAGGATTGGCTAAAAGTTTTACAACTGAGATTTAACACGCCCAGACGCAGTTTTATATAGAAAAGACTAGAAAAAAGGTTTAGATACCAATCACAGATGGCAGGACCAGTGTTGAGGTGAAAGGAAATATCTTAAAAAATTTTAAAAAAAAAATTTCTTCTTAGAGGGCGCTTATTTACAGTCTAAAACGTATTTTAGGAATTTTTTCATTAAATTCCTCTTTAAACTTCATTAAATAATACAATTTTGTACAAATAATTGAATGTTATGCTACTATTTATAAAAATAAAATCAGAAATCCATTAAAAAATAAGTTCTCCATCATTTTTTCAATTCACAAATGATTTTGCCCTCACACTTGCATTGCCTACTAAGAAAGTTAGTAGCCGGTAGTCATCGGGGTAACAAGCATTGAGTGCAAAGGAAGCCACTCACAACATCATTGCATATATTATGTACTTATAACCATATAAATCAACTTTCAAGGAAAAATAATCAACTTTTTAAATAGGTTATGAACCATCACAGCATTTCATATAGTATATCCCTCTAGATTTTGGTGCAAAATACCCAGCCAATTTTGCTGTAGACTTGTGAAACAAAAATGTGAATAATAATAATAAAAAACTAATACCAAAAGATGCACTCACAATTTCATGAAGTCTGAAAATTAGTAGAATAAATCATTACACACAAGAATAGAGAAAGCTACTATGGTAGTCGTCTACTGTTAGAAAAATCACTGAATTAGTCACAGAATATCACGTAGAGACAAAATACATCAGCAAACTTGAGAAACATTGAAGTACAGTAAACTCAAGAAATGATGAATCTTCAACATGGCAGTTTCCAATTAATGTGCTATAAGTTGCACAAATTATTTTTAAATTAATGAGCATTAGAAGAACACTGGATTTTTTCAATGGCAGAAAGTGAAGGATTTCAAGAAATCCTTCTAGGCAAAAAAACAAAGGCACTTGAATTAATTTTAAAACTACCCTGTGACATACTCAATACAGCATTCATTACTATTGTCCAGGTTTCAGTAAAATATTCACAGCTGTTTTTTATGTAGCAGCTTGTCAAACTACAATCAATAATAATAAGGCTGGTGACACTGTTATAAGTACACACATTGTTTACTCTAGTAAAATGTAGTGTTTCCAACTAGTATAATAGTACATGATAGTCTTCTACATTTCTGCAATGCTTGCATGGCTTCAAAGAGCTTATGTTGGTAGTATAAAATAACTCAGAGAATTTTAGAGTGGAAATCTTGACTTTCAAGAATCAACTTAAAAATAGCTCTACAACCTTTGCAGGAGTTTGTTCAGCAGCTGTGTATAGATTTTGGCACAGTATACCTAGCCATTTTTGCTGTAGGCTTCAGTGTTTGAATGGCTTTGAAAAAAAACTTGGCCAGTAGTGATGAAAAAATGTATAAAATCTCTCCTCCTCTTTCAAGAATCAACATAGAAATAGTCCTATAACCTGCAAGTTTTTTAGTAGGTTTGCCCGGGTTTGATTAAAATATTCAGAGCCATTTTTCCCTGTAGGCTTGTAAAACAAGAATGGTATGAATAATGATAATAATAATATGAAGAACAAATGAATTAATTTTGAATTTTGTATAACAATCAGAAAATCAACTTTTTTGCTATTATAAATATTTTAGAAGCCTTAGCCATTGAGATAGAGGGTTTTGAATGTTGTTCCAAGAACAAGTCTGCTTTTTAAGATGTTTTTGCCCATATGTTCAATTAGAATTTTTGTAAAATTCCTGGACAGTCCCTATTATGAACCACTATCATGGTTCATGATGAAACATGAAGGTTTATTTGAAAGTTTTTGAAAACTTTATTTGCTAAAAACAAGAGGGAAAGTCTCAGAGATAAAGAAACTTAAGACAAGCAAATATCCACGTTTATGACCTACGAGAGAAAACTCGTATAAATATGAAACTACACATAGATCAAATATTGGCAGAAGTTCATGAACTGAGCAATTATGTTCTCACATGACTCACACTGATAAATCTACCCAAATCTGGGACTATAGGCTCAAAATACAGTTTTCAGAATAATGACTGACACCACAACTGCTAAAAACATGCCACCACACAACTCACCCCATGTTCTTTAAGAACAATAAAACACAAAAAACAACTCACAAGTACAAACAGTCATTGATTTTGAGATGTGGCTGATTTTTTATGAATTCTTGCCTTGTAAGCCTTATTCAACTTCAAATCCTCATTCATTTCTCGTTAATAGAACCAGGAGATACAACCAACTACATTACAACAGCTATTTTAGGTTCTCTTTTACTTAGCCCTCATTTTTCAGATGAGGACACAATTCTCAATTCAGCTTAAGATGTGGTTTCAGAGCTTTCCTAAACATTTTTATGGAGAGTTTAAACTTTCAAAGAGGAAAGGTGGTGGAACATATTGTTACAACAGCGGAAGTCACGTGATGCCGGTAATACGTCGTGAGATTCCCAAAGGATCTTGACTTTTCCTGGCAACTCTAGTCTGTTCTAGGCACCCTCTTTTTCTTAGTATATAAGCCCAGCAAATAAAGCAGAGATATAATTGCAGATAGATAAAGACATTGAAGATAGAGATAATCGAGTCAAGCCGTAAGTAGTGTTTGAATCACTGTGATTTATAGCGTGTGTTCATAAAAGTAGTCAAGTTTAAAGTGACTGTGGAAATTCTGTGTATTGCAAAGCTGTATCGAATAAGAATAAACTAGCTTTAATTAAGAAAGAACTTGTATCGCTGAAGCCACTTGGAAAGAATTTATACCAGAAATTAACAAATGACCAGATACGCAACAATATTTTAAATGGAGGTGGCCTTAGTTGCTATCTTAATCATGAACATTGAATTCAAAATTGAAACTGCAACTCTCCATAACAATTATGCACAATCTTTATTTCAAAAGGGTGCCTTGCTACCAGGTCAAAATTGGGGGACATGTACTCCAGTGCCCCCCTCTTCTTGCAATTCTGCAGCCTTCCTCACCTTATGAATGTTCCAAAATCAATAGTTTGCCTAAATTTGGGAATAATGTAATTTTTTTTCATATCAGACAATAGAAGAAAGCCAGACAGGCCACCTAATAAAAAAATAATAGCAATTTTATGCATACATAGTAACATATAAGATTAATAAAGTATACAATACCCCAGCTGACAGAATGTTAGAATTAGTAGTAATATGTGTGTTTTCCAAGTCTGATAATAATAAATGTTGTTCCTATTAAAACTTCATGTGTTATAATTCAGCTAGCCTGATAAGCATTGACAATAAGCAACAGCACTTATCACCAGTAGCATACAACAAACAAAGTATAGTTGCAATGCTAATACACACTTCTTACTGGAAATCTGTTAAAGGTTAGTAAAGAATGATATAAATAAATGTGATAACACACATATTAATATAGAAATGAGTAGTTCATTAAGAAATCATAAAAAAAAATTAAATTCAATATAACATTTGACTTGGCTATCACAAATATTAATTAACTCTAGGATATTTTCTTTGTCAGGTCAATATTTCACACAAAGTCATAAAAAATGCATTTTTGCAAATGAGACAGAAATAATTTAAAAACATATCTATTGGCCTTTCTGTAAATCATTTTCAAAAATAGTGACAAAGATAATAAAGAGGGCTGAGTACTTTATATAAAATGATTTTGAATGTGCAAATAGCAGTCACACAACAACCATGGCCAATATAAAGTTGTATTGGAACATAATGTATCAGAACTACACTTTTACATTGTTTGGCATTTCAAAGTTGGTATGATGAAACCAAATACTGATCACCTTGAGATGGGTATGTAACAGCCCTTTCTGACAAATAATATTCATTCAATGAGATCATAAAGATATGTTCCAATCAGGGATTTAGAATTTACATAACAGAAATATCCCTTGTACTTAATGGCACCATAAAAAAAAGGAATATGGATCAACTTGGGGTACTAGGATCATCAAGAAAGAAACCTGCAACAGGTTTTACCACAGCTGTGATAAGCAGAGTGCAGTGTTTCATAACTCTCCAAAAACATACTTTACAAGTACTTTACATAAGTTTCAATTTCTTAATTTCAAAAGGAAATATTTAAATAAATTCTCAATATTCACTTCATTGTATCATGTGGCACTTAATAGCTTTAAATTTTCCATTTTAGATTTACTTTCTACACTTAAATTATCTTTTAAGTTTCCCAGGGCTTACAGATTTATACGTCAAATACCCTCAAGCTAGAACGTAAATCTTTAGCTTCTATACTTCTTCTATTATGGAAATATTCTCCAAAAAGTTATATTTAAATGCACACTCCACCTAGGACATGGGATAAAGTTAACCAGTTTTAAAGGTTTTGGCACACTCTTTCTGTCTGCCAGCATTGGAACTCTGCATGACCAGGTATCTGAGTTATTTGACCAATTTCTAGTTTAGTTAGAAAGCTAGGTAAATGAAATTAGCTTAAGGATATTCTTGTTTATATTAGTGGCAATATTTCATATTCTGAAATGCATATTTGAAATTAAAAACATAATTTCTGAGACCATATTGTAGTTATCATGAGTACTATGCTTAAGAAAGACAAGATTACAGATGTAACTACTCTGAGAGGGTGTAAGTGCAACTGTAATGAAATTAGACTAACTGCAAAATCTATTAACTTTGGCTATAAGAATATGTAGTGTGTAATTGTATGATACAATGTGCTGTCAATCTATAAAGAGAAAAGGATAATTTAGAATGTTTTGATTTGGTTCATTTTGAATTTCGCACAAAGCTATGCAAGGGCTATCTGTGCTAGAGATTGCTAATTTAGCAGTGAAAGACTAGAGGGAAAGCACCTAGTTATCACACCCACCACCAACTCTTGGGCTACTCTTTTACCAATGAATAGTGGGATTGACCATTACTTTATAATGCCTCCACAGCTAGAAGAGTGAGCATGTTTGGTGGGACAAGGATTCAAACCCACAACACTCACCTGGCCATGCTGGGCTGATAATTTAGATTTATCTGTTTTGCTGTTTTTAAGTGACTGTTTCAAGGTTCGTCAAACTGATTGAAGCTGATACAGTTAGTGTTAGAAAATAAAAGATAAAATATAAGGTTTTGCTGAAAAGAAACTTTTGTTATTCACTTAAGAGATTATGCAAATGAAATGTGAAAATTGTAAGATGAACAAAATATCTTCTATTCTTAACATGAAAATCAGATTGCACTCATACTGGCTAAGTAAAGACTTTGTAAATTCACAGACAAGTCTTTCACAGATATACCTGATTTTATGTGTACAAGAGCCTTGTCATCTTCACTAAAAGCTTGCCAATGTTTGTGAAAATACACATATTACATTAAAACTTATAGTATGTATAGTTACATGGTGGTTACAAAATTGTTCAAAATGACTCAGTCTGTGTACAGAGAGATAAGAGCTTAAAATCCATGAATGCAAAGATCAGTGGCAAAAGAAGAATAATCTCTGCCTGAAAACAAGGCCAAAAGGGAATGGGTTCACTAAGAAAATTCTTCCAGTCATAGCTCACATTCATCCATTATATACCTCAAGCAACTGGAGAATAAAGTGGGTGTTTATGTTCTTCCATATGAAGATATACTGGTGAAGTAGCTAGACACAGTGCCTATGGATTTTTATGCAATCCGTCTGTTGAATTGGGTTCTGGGAAAGCGTCATCATCATCATAGACAAGAGGATTTACAGAAACCCTGCTTTGGTCATGACAGCCTTATCACTGAGCCTTTTGCTTTAGAAACTACACTGTTGAGTTATAGTCAAGATGCACGGTCATCAGACAGAGCATGACCAAATGTAGCAACATGAACTGTGATGACATGATGATGTCCCAAAATTGTTTTAATGCAACATACTCAACTTTTCTAGCACTTTTAGATATGAAGGTTTAATATAGGACAATGTCAGTGCAGTTTTTGGCATAAATGTGAATGATTTGTATACATAAGTTACATTCCTAACTATAAGGTACATTCATGAGCTGAAATCTGCACCCCACAGTCACTAATATACAGGAAAACAACATCTTACCTTCTTCTGAATCTTTAGTTGAAGAGTCTTGATGTTCATCTGTCTGTCGAAGTTCTGACCAGACTTCACTTTCACTACCAGTAGAACTGTAAGAGTCTTCTGGACCACTGGATTTACTCTGCCGGATTCTCTGATGATGTTTATTGCCTGAAGACTGTCAAAACATTGCTTATATTTTCAAGGACTATTCATAAGAACTGATGAAGCACAATAACTTTATTACAGAATATCATTGTTACAAAATAAGAGAAAATAAATATTAATAAAGCATTTATATTAGACCTATACAAATTAAAATATATATATATATACACACATACACACACATTAGCATTTCAATTACATTTTTGTTTTTATACACCATTGTTAACAATACCTTTCATTTAATAACAAAGATAATTAGAAACCCAAAGAATCAAACACAAATTTTTTATTAAAAACATATTTTAAAGCAGCCAAAAAACAAGGTCCACACTGGCACTGTCTTCAGAACAAAGCATGAGTAGTTTGTGCATTTTCACAGCTTGAAATATAAAATTTACTAAAATCCTGTAAATAATTAGCAAGGTTTGTGTGAATGTTTATGAAAATTTGTGACTTCTTATTGCTTAAACCTTTCTGGACTGAAGAGGTATCACTGAAGATAAACTTACTGAACAGTGAGAAACTTACTAATTGGTATCTAGTTTCTGAAAAATACCCTGAGATGAACAAGATATTGAGTAGGGGAGAGGAAGGACTTCTCCACCTTAAATAGCCAACCTGCCCATGTGCAGCTTTTGATGAAGAAACTGAGTGTAAAGGAAAAAAGTAACACGCAAAGGAGCTAAAAGCAGCCAGTCATCCATGTAATGGTGGAAACAAAGGCCCCTTAGAAAGGAGAAGATGGGCAAAGGCCCTGACTACCCAACAAAAAAGCCAGCCCAAATGGAAGACCCCAGAACTGGTAGATACAATGGACAAAATGAAAAAAAATGTTGGGGAGATGGGAATGTAGAGGTAAGTGAATTCCCATTGAAGAGACAAGTATGACTCCATGGTGAATCAGAGAAGGTCTTTGAAGTTGTTCAAAGAAGAAAATCAGTGATGGGGCAATGGTCCCCGGTCTTCTTGGGGCCAAGAAACAAATGGGAACAGTGACCCAGATGAGAAGGAACCACCTGTTCTAGAGTGTAAAAAAGAACTATAATTGCCTCAGACAGATGCTGACTGTCACAAAATTAATCAACTAATGGAAATAACAATTAAATCAATTGCCATAAAAATAACAAACTAATCAAAATCAGGGTTCCTGATTATTAGTATTTCAGATTATTTCAACTGTCCAAGTAATTCAAATATTTCCATTATGTTTGTTTGATATTAAACACAAAGCTACATAATGGGATTAATAATGGCTGGAGAC